GGAAAGCAAATCTTAAGCCTAATTCAGAAAAACATTTCATCATGGACCTAAATTCATCTCTACTTAAGGAAGTTTTAAAGCATATGATTAACTTGGAACACGTTTAAACTTCTGCTAGCTTCAATAAGATTCTGAATAAGCAACAAAAACATGAGCCGAAACGCTCTGCAGAATCAGGTCCTAAGGAAGGACAAGCTAAAAGAAGCAGAAATGCAAATTCTCCATCTAAACAGAATTTTGTCACAGTAAAACATACACGTTCCACAGAATCAAAGGTTATCCATCAACAGCAAAACTCAATGAGGGATCAAGACCCAATCAGCACAAACACTCATTGGAAGAACATACTCTAGCTTTATATAAAAGACATTCTCTGATGGGCCTCCGAGACCTGTGCAAGGCCACAGATGTGTGGCCCACTGGTGTAAAGAAATAAGAGACAAAACACTTAACAAGATTAAAAAGCTTAAGGTAGAACGCTTGACCACCATATCATGCTTTTCATTAAAAAAAAATGCTTTCAAAACATATCGAAATGAAGATGAAATGTTGGGTTAACAGAATTATTCTCACATCTCTAATACCATCAAACATACAAGATTGAAAACTGTAAGTAAGTATGACAAGGGACAATGGCTACAGGCCAGCCCTGCATAAAAGGTTGTAGTTTTCACTGAAAGCACTGGGAGTCATATCAGGGCTGAACTTGGCCCACAAAAGTCTATCACACACGCCCACATGCCGTACGTCCACGTGCCTACATTCACAATAGTCATGAACTTTTCTGCTCATTTTCATTGTTTCAAGCTTTACTAATAACTGGAAGAAGATTACAAAACCTTTAACAATAACGGAATCAATTCAACACTATAAAAATATATAATTAGCTGTTTTAACTCTACCAACTACTGTTTTATTTTATGGTACAGATGCTGTAGAAAGAGGTTTACATGTACGTGTGTGTGTACGTGTACATGTGTATATATATATATATATATATGGAACCAAGATTGATGGCTAAAGAAAAAGAAGAGAGAATTATGGTTATTCCCTGAACAGATTGCAAGAATAGGGCAGCGCTACAGGAAAATCATAAGCACAATAAAAAAAAAAAATCACATGCTTTCTGCCATTTTTATTGAGCTCTGCAATTTTCAGGGGCCATAAAAGCATAGACAGAGAAAATAACTTTAGAAGAAAAAAAATTACCATTTCAATCTACACCACTATGCACTGTGTAATACCACTTGTGAGTCACTGGACAAAACTAATGTCACAGAGAAAAGGATGGCTATCATGCCTCAATTGCTAGGGTGTTTCTCTCTGTTTTGACCTCATGCCAAGAGAGCAGAGAAAAATAATGCATTAAAAGGGAACTTTTAAACAGAGAAAACAACTGAAGGACTTACTGAGTAGTTCATAGCCTGTGAAGTTTGTTTGTTTATTTTTTTTAATATTACAAATAGCACTCATGTCAATATATACATTATCTTTTCAAAGTAACTGGTGGCACATGTCACCTAAGGTGTAATCATAATTACTGTGCATCTAAGGAGACAAAAGTACTGCATGCCAAGGTTGCATACCAGTATTTCTTCAAAGCTACTTGTTAGTCATTTTGACAATAACAGCTTATCTGTACTTTGTCATGATGTGCTATCCACAAGGCATTTTTTAGAGCAGTTAACATAGCCAGATGTGACACAGCCCCTGCAATATCCTCCCAAGAAGGGAGAGGATGACACCTACTCTGGGCAATTTCATAGTGTGTTTTTCTAAAGGTCCAGTCCTGAATTAGTTATGTGTTTCACCTACACTCCCCACCCTCGTCCTATGAGGCAAAAACAGAACAAAGGTTCTACTTGTCTTCCCCGTGACAAAACCAGAATAAATTATGTCTTGCTCCTGTCGTTCCAGCAAGCTGGTTAATTGCATTTGTTTCATATATCTCCAAACAGCCTGGTACATTAATTACATTCTGTAACACCAAGCTCCTCTGATTCACTCTGTCACTTCCACTGAGCACTTTAATTGTATTCCTTCTAGCTACATACAATTTTAAACACTTACTAATAATTACATTTCTACAGCCTGATGTTTACAGTTTGTATACAAAGATCTCTCTGATACTGGAGGCCTTCCAGTTCTGAATCAAAATATGTTACAGGAGGGAGGGGGAGAAAAAAAAAAAAAAAAACACACACACACACACAGAGAACCATGACCACGCTGGTAGATGCAAATGTTCCATTAAAGCCTTTCACAGATAGAACTCCCTGTTGTTCAGGATGTACATACATTATGTAGAAAACCATATTCTCTTAGCCATAGACCGAACTGAAGGGTAAGTTGCACAGCATATCATGCAATCAACGTAAAGCAGTATGTGGATGTCCCCCCCTGCTAGTCTGTGTATGTTGTCTCCTTTCTCGCAGGAGAAGAGGAGAGCAGGGGCAGAAACACCCCGAGAAGCCTATGACTGCAAACAAAAATCCTACAGCAGGTGAGGTAACATCACTTCATTTTACAAACAGTCCTTGCTTAAAGACTAGTATTGTAAATACTGCAAGCAGTAGCGTCCTGGAACAAAGTTTGCTCCAACAGACAGGCAAAAATGGCCAGGGTCCCAGACATTAGACTCATCTGAAGTCTAAAAGACTGTTTAAAGAGGCAAATACTCAATATCAGGAGGACAGCCAACACGATCCGTCCTGCTTCGTGTCCCCCCCGCCACCCCGAAATAAAAGATTTAGCACGGTGGATTTTTTCCCCCTCTTTCCTCACTCCCTCAAGCTGACGATCTTCCCTTGATCCCAGCACATACACACACAAACTGCATGCTGTTACAGACGCATGCTTTCTAGCCGTGCTCTTGAACTCCTGGGATGCATTTAATATCTGCACCGCAGCAGAGCACCAAACCCTCCTTTAACAGATATTTTAAACGCTACCCTTTCACTGAAGTTTCCGCCTTCCTAAGACGCGCTTGCCACAAAACGCTCATTCATATTCCTCCACCCAGTACTTACACTTGAATACCGCAACAAGCTTGCGGAGCAGTCCCAAAAGGAAAGAGCGGGGGCGGGGGGGAGGAGACCCTACCTGGAGCCCAGGCACAGCCGGCCTCTTTATTTAGCAGGCGGCTCTGCCGACTCCCAAGTTTAACAATAGGAGAAGGCAGAGCAACACCGGTTATTACAGCAGCTCTCTGCCTCCTGCCTTTCCTTTCTCCGTCCCGCTTCGTGTCCCCCCCAACCCGCCCCGAAATAAAAGGTTTAGCACGGTGGACTTTTTTTCCCCCCCTTTCCTCACTCCCTCAAGCTGACACTCTTCCCTTCATAAGCTACTTTTCCATTAAGTTAGCAGATGGGAAGAATTGCTGGTTGGAAACATATATTCTTCTTTCTTGCCTCCCCCCCCCCCCCCCAAATACTATTTTTATACCAGAAACAAACTTAAGACTCTGTAACGCTAAAAGCTTAGTAATGTCGTCCATGCGCTGTCCCAAATCAGATTCAGATGAAGGGAAATTCTGCACAGAAACGGCATATCTGAAATAAGCGAACTTACCATAGACTTGGAAAAATGCAAATCCAAAGAGCAGGAGTGGCGTCAGCAGACCCATTTTGACATATTAAAAGCAATCCAGATCGCTTGCGAGACCAATTCCAGAGAGATCCCCCAAAAGTATCCAAAAGCAGTAAGAGGTAGGTCCAAAAGTTTTCAGTTTCCTAGCAGCTAATTACAGCGGAAAGGGAAACCTTGAAATCAAAAGCTACAGATGGAAAGGTCTTGAATATGACACTTTTAGATCCATCCAGATTAGAGCAGAGCGCGAGCTCCGAAGGCTTTTCTGCTTTGCACACACTCCTTCCTAAATTCCCACCAATCCAGCCCAAGCGGAGGAATTACTCAAGTGTGTCTAAGCCTCTCTTTAGGCTCCATGGCAATCCAAAAGCAAGCTCTTTCTCCGGAAGACACGACGAGACTTTGAGAAAGGACCTGATTCCTAGAAAGTGTTCCGAAAACTTCCCGGCACTTTGCAGGAAAATCATTGGCTTGCTTTGGCTATTTTCCTTTCCTCTCTCCCTCCCCCTAGCCCTTTCTCTCTCCTTCTGTCTCCACCAAATCAGTTCAAGCTGCGGAGTTTCTCACTTAACTTCCATAATAGGAACGCCTAGGCAATGCGCTACAGGAGGGGATGGCTTTCTCAGCATCCCCCTCGAAACACAGCCCCGTGCCCTAAGCCTCCCTCCTCACCGGCAGCCCGAGCGGCAACTGCTCCAGGGCAGCAACTCCGGGCGCGCTGCCGGTGCCG